TTCTCTGCCTTGTGAAAAGATTTTGGTATTTTCCTCAATCTCGCGAGCCTTCGCACCCTTTCATCGACCTTTCCTAACGGCATAGGACTTGGATATTTCTGCGTCTCGTAAAGTCGGTAACCCCTCGAGACTTCCCAAAAGCGATCCCACATTCAGGGTCCCAATTCGAACTAGCTTCTTTGGCCGAGGTCGTTCACCCCTCGGTAGCCCTCGCATACTGACCACAGAACTCGGGCGAGGGTTCTGCGCGCCACTTCCGGGTGACGTCCTAGCATTAACACTGATACTTTTGCGACTTGTCATGATTGTTGTGACGGGTTTCTCCATCAGCCGGCCTGTCAACCTGGGCCTGACGCTGGTATCGTTATCCATTTTTGCAAGGCATGGTTTGTGCCTCGGCAGGGATCGCACTGACGGCTCGGAGTACAGAGATGAGACTCCATTCTTAACCACTTGGCTATCCCTGCCTAGCTCCACGCGCACGAGCTGGTGATCAGATCTTGGGTCAGCTCCCGCTCGGTATCAAGCAAGTCTTCCATTCCTCGGGGGCAAGCAAATCGGTACAAAACTCATCTGCTAAAATTAAAATACTGATTCGTACATCTGCGGGCAGCCCAGATTGGCATATAGGCCGAGTCCACGATTCTGAACGGACGTGGAATTCCTGGCGCATCCCTGAAGGGCACTGATCAGCCGGTTTTGATTTCTCAGTAAAACGAATGAAAGGCCTCTTGATAGTAGACAATGATAAAGCAAAATGATAGCGCTAGTGCAGCATTCAATCATTAGCGGTTGGTCAGGTCACAATCAATATTCTCCCATGCGGTGTTGAGTTGCTTGTGGTAAGTGGATGCCACTGTAATGTAACTGTAGGACACTCTTTTACCTTGGCGTTTCTTTCAATCACCCTATGTATGAGACGTTTAGACTTTATATTATGTTTTTTCTTTAGTTTTGTTGGTCTGAAAGACTACTCCTCGAATTTAGCAAGTAGCTGACATCCAACACAAGATCGGTGAACTCACAGCTACTAATAAGTTCCTTGAAGGCAAGGTTATGGAATATGAGGAGAAGGAGAGCACACTAGCAAAGGTATTGATTTCTTATATTACTTGATTAGCAGTGTGTACTGGTTAAATACTTATCACCCGCATTCTTAAAATATATCTCTGGTATGAGTGGGTAGGACTTGTAGGGGGACTGCATCACGCTTGAGATGGCCTCCATTGACATTTCTTTTTTTTCAAAGTTTTTCATCACTACAATTCTCCTTTTGGTGTGATGTTCTTAGAGAGCTTGAGAAAGCGTTCATACTTTGCATAAGCGACTAGCGTACGCTCAAAACGCTGACACACAGTATGAACGCACTTCAAGACACGCGATGCCTTGACTGGAAAGTAGGGCTCCACACTTCACAGAGTATGGCTGTCAAACTTACCAAATAAAGGTCTGATCAGCACTTTAGCCGGGTATGGCTGAGGTCCAGGATCTAATCCTGGCTACTGTAAGGCGTTTTTTCCATAACTCAGAAGTTATTAATTTGTTTGCTAAGGCCCTTGCCGTATCGCAATGATTATGGGATTAAAATCTCCCGCGGTTCGATAAGACTCGGCGCGATTTGCTCTAATTTGAAACAGTCTGCGTTGCTTCTATTCGTTCCGGTGCTATTCGGCCTACAGTAGCGAAAGTAATATCTAGAACAGACCAAGAATCGTATTTTCAAAGTTTTGTTGGATTTTCTCTATTTTGAGCGCGATTATTTCACCTTTGGAGATGAAATACCAGAGGAAATCCTGCACTTCTTTCGCTGGTTTACTTGTTCTACTGGTCTACTTCTTTTCTCCTTTTCATGTACTTTAGTACCATGTTTCAGCAACTGGCCGAGGCCCAAGGTAACGCTGAAGCGGCTAAAGCGGAACTCGTGGAATTACAGAAAAAGCTTGTCGAAATAGAGGGTAGCTCATCACTAACCCATAAATACTTGCTCGAGGAGTCTAACAAGGTATGAAACTAGTTTGCTTTTCTTGTCAACGTTACATTTTCTGTTTCAGATCAAACAACAAAAGGCAGCGCTTAGGTGCGAGTTAATAGGACTTCGCAGAGATTACAACAAGCAGAAGGAAAAACTTGAATTGGTAAGGAGAATCTGATCGGTTTCTTCTGAAGACCCCCTTTTTCATTCTGTATTTCAAAGCTGGAATCGAAGAAAATGGATGAGAAAGAGGTAGAGAATCTGCGAGCAGAGTTGGATTCGTCTCGACGACGTGAGGAGAATCTCAAAGGCGAAGTGACTCGGCTGAAGAGCGAGCTCCAGTCTGAGCAGCAAAAGGCAAAAGAACTTGGAGACGCTGTGAGTTGTTTATATACCTGTGATCCCCGCAAAAGATTGGGTATATAAGACAGCGTGAGCTGGAACGCAGCCAGAACAGCCTTTTCCACCAATCGTAGCAGACTCAGGATCACATCGTCGGTGAAAAAGGCCGCACTGGCAGCGATTCAATCCACGCCCCTTTGTTTTTTTTTGGCGAAGCTCATTCCTCGTAAGACTACGAGGTAATCGTCAATTTGTTACAGCTAAGCTCAGCCCAGCAACAACAAGGAGATGTATCTGTTGAGCAGAGTATCAATCGTGAATTACGTGAAGAATTGAAGAAGTCTGAGGCAAAGATGATTGAGCTCTCTCAAATGGTGGAAATTGTGGACGCGCAGTGCGAGCAGTTTAGGGTATGGATTTGCCTTTTCAGTAACATCAGATCCAGTGAGACTGAATGTGGGGAGACGGTCAAGACAATCGTAAATCGCGCTTCGTCTAGGCAGACATGTGAGGCTATTTTGCGTTTACACGATGTCTTTTGACGCTCAGTCTATGGTCGGGAACATCGTCATTTGCCGCACGCGACGCCCGTCAGAGCTGCGAATTGCGATTGCCTGCCCCTTTATTCTTGAGTAAGTATTTTAAAACCAGTGATGATGTATTGGCCGACTCCGAGGCCATCTCATTTTCTTTGATTATCCGTGGCCGTTTTTTCCTACAGACCTTTTTACATGTGCTAAGCCTTCGCTGCGGATGCACGGGGGCGAAGGCTTGGCGTGTGCTAGTCGCGTCAGACACCATTTCACCCTGTTTCCTCTATCGAAAGTAGTAGGTGAAGAACGGGCTGGAGCCACGATAAACATTGCTCCCCTGCCACGTCCAAGCATCCGCAGCGAAGCAGATTGTACTAACAAGGGAGGTCTTTCAGGTCGTGGCGCGCTTTTCGGAAATGATTTGTTGCATGTTGTAGAGGTCCGAATAAGGATCACAAAAATGGGTTTCATTTTTGCTATGCGTTTCTGGGTAGGTCAAAAACTGAGTGCAAAGTTTGCTGCGGACAAGCGATTTTGAACCTTTTTTCCGAGGCTTTTTCTATTCATAATGTTAAGTATGCATAGCAGATGAGACCTCCGTCGACACTGCATCGAAAACAATACAATTCAAGGTAAAAAAGTACTTTATTTGGCACATAGTGAGGCAGCATTGTAGTTTCTCAAGAGATTCTCGCAGCATCCCAACCCGCAGCTGGCGTGAGAGGAGTGTTCAGAGCCATGTTGGCGCCAAATAACCTAGACGCCAATTTTAAAGGTCAGAATCGTCATCAGGGCCATTGATAACCTCTATATACAGACTTTCAGCAAAAATTTTCACCTCGAGATGAGCGCTTAACAGCCCCTGCGTGCGGGTTGGCAACAATTCAGTGGAAGAACGCTCTTGCAGCAAGTCGGCGCTAGGCTGCGCTGTGTCCGTCAAAAGCGTGTCGTAAAATCCAAAACCGGAAAAACGATAATTAAAGTATCCGAAAAATGCAAAGAGTTAGTCGCCAATGGGATCCGATCCAAGAACCTTCTTCGCGAGAGCCCACCGCACTATCCACTCCGCCATCTGCCGACCACGAAACAGCGGTTGCGAGAATCGTTCAAGTAACTTCGGTATTACTCCCCTCCGTCCACTTTCTTATTGGCTTTACTTTGCTATCTTTTCAATACATAGTGAAGGGACACCTCATGAATTATGCACTGTCAAAGTTACAGCTACAACAGAGCCCATTAACACGGTTAAAATCGCGATTTCTCGTCAAATTCTTTTCACTCAGTTTTGACCTACCCAGAAACGCATAGCAAAAATGAAACCCATTTTTGTGATCCTTGTATGGACCCCTACAACAAGCAACAAACCATTTCCAAAAAGCGCGCCACGACCTGAAAGACCTCCCTTGTAAGGGTGGGCATGTCGGCCCTATCAAACGATGTCCGTCTATTGGCGCGCTTCACTCCACTACTGCCTGTTCAGAACTGCTTTGCGCGTAGGGCTAGGCAGAAATTCTGACTTCAGTACTGGATGACCCGCAATGACAGCCACCAGGCTGTAAATATTATCTTACATTCGACGTGCCTGTTCGTGTTCGACGTGAATTTTGAACAGATTGACGCATTATAGAGAGTTTGTGGCATATATCCAATACCTATCAATTATGGGCGGAAGTGGTGTAGTGGCAGGTGGCGCTGTAGAACAAGTGGTCCGGGAGGTCGAACTGCAGATTTGCCCCGACTGGGCCGACAGGGGCCTTCCTTCTACTAAGGAAAATATGCCTCCGTAGATCAACTGATCCTCGCGAGTCAATATATAGGCCATACAGCATTCAGCTGGGAGGATAAAACTCCGACTTCTACATCGACTGGTTCCCGCGAATAAGCGTTACAGTTCCAAAGTATAAGGGCAAAAAATGTCCGTAGCGCATCTCAGAAAGCCGGCGATGATCGCAGGGTCACATAGCTTATCCACTACCTTTATCATTATTATTTAAGCATTGTTCTAGGGAAGCTTAGAAGCCGATCTGATGCAATGATGGCAGAAAGTTTGGATAATGCACACAGGAATGACCCAGGTAAACAAGTGATCATACTACGGTTGAATCATCTCCACCAATTTGCTATCCTGTACATACCATTTCACACATTTAAATTTCACCACTTTTCAAACCAAATTCACCACCACTTTCCAAATCAAATTCACCACACTTATTAGGCCGGGCAATTCATCAACCAGATCACGCCAGACACCACTGCGAGCCCCGCCCCGACGGCCACGCCTACTTGTCAGCGCGGACATAGATTTTCAAATCTTGTTTCATAACTTCTGCTTCTGTGACTTTCTTGTCTTTTGCTGTTTCCCACAAACACTTTGACTGAAAACGACTGGACATCGACACATGGCCGACTCCGCCGATTCTCTATTTCTCGCCCCTTTTGCCACGCCCACTTGCTTTTTGCGGACTTTCGATATTTTTTTCAAAATTTTTGCATTTTTGGGCTGCTACGTGAAGCCCCGCCCACTGTGAGAGGCTCCGCCCACTTTGAAGAGGCCCCGTCTACTTCTAAAAAGGTGCATATCGGCAGTATAGTGTCTCGACTTGCTGGCCAGGTTCTCGTTCGTCACTCGGAACAAGTAAATCAGGCAAAGCTTGTCACGAACAAGCACTACGAGACTCAATACTGCCGATTTGCACCATTTTTTGAAGTGGGCGGGGCTTCTTCAAAGTGGGCGGAGCCTCTCACAGTGGGCGGGGCTTCACGTAGCAGTCCAAAAATGCAAAAATTTTGAAAAAATATCAAAATTCCGCAAAAAGCAAGTGGGCGTGGCCAAGGGGGCGGAGCCTAGATTGCCAAACCCTTTAGAGAATGGGCGGAGTCGGCCATGTGTCGATGTCCAGTCGTTTTCAGTCAAAGTGTTTGTGGGAAAGGACAAGAAAGTCACAGAAGCGGAAGTTATGAAACACGATCTGACAATCTGGCCGCCGGGCGGGGCTCGCAGTGTCTGGCGTGATCTGGTTGATGAATTGCCCGGTCTAATAAGTGTGGTGAATTTGATTTGAAAAGTGGTGGTGAATTTGGTTTGAAAAGTGGTGAATTTAAAGTGAAAATGTTATGTCTCATAATCGTTTAGCTGCGTGAAACGGAACGCGAGCTTGAGCGCCAAAAGTCATCTGAGGTCGAGGTCAATCAGTTGAGAGCGGAGAAGGAGCGTTTGGAAATGAAAATCCGCTATCTGAATGTGGGTTTTCCGTGTCTTCTCGTTCTGCTGTTTCCAAAACTAACAATTCAGGATGAACTCCGTGAGACTCATAACGACTACCGAGCGGAATTGGCTCAATTGGCGCGGCAGATTAGTGAGACCAAGCATAAGGATGTCACTGATAACGAGACTTATGTGCTGAAGGTATTTCTGTTCCTTTTTCACCCAGCCTATCTCCTCTGGCGGCACTGCTATAGTACGTTCTTTTAACAGATCGATGAGTTGAATACAAAGTTGGCTCAAACGGAGAGCACATCTCGTAGCCTGAAGCGACAACTGGACGAATTGAAGCTGGATAATGAGAAAGATGCAGGAACAGGTACGATTACATGACATTCATTGCTCTTTCCCCAATCCACGACGAGGATATTACCCGAGATCAGTGTGCTCCCGTTCTCGTTCTGGTCAGGCTGGGACCGTAGTCTTTCGACACCTAAAGACACATTTCACGATAATATGTCTGGATACAATCCCCTCCCTGGGCCTGGCGAGGTGACCCTATTTGCGACTCAGCGTTGCAAGCAAATCGGTATTGAGCGAAAAGGATGGTATTAGTATCGGTCAGCGCCTAAACAGCAATTCGCTCAAGACGGTGATTCTCCCAAAACGCTGGCGATCGATACCTATACTTTTCTTCTCGCTCAAAACGTCACCGTGAAAAGCCGATTTGTTCAAAAACGCTGGATCTCCCAAAACGCCGAGTCGCAAAGTATGAACGCAGCCTGAGATCACTGTTCTCCGTTAGGGACGGTTTATTACCTCGTCTTTCTGTCCTTCCATACTCGCCCCTCTCCCGTGGGGCTCTATCTTTTCGAAGTTAGATTCCCGTCTAGTGATGACAGTCGGGCGCAGTTTGCCGACGGGGGGCATTTTGCACTTTCGTTGCTTCACTAGTTCTGGTTTACAAGTCTCACTCTGGTGAAACCTGTGAACTCTTGTGAAGCTGGAGCAAGCTCGTCATGGTAAAACCTGTCAACTCGAGAAGAGGCTGTCTAGATGGGTCGACACGTCGATGGGAAGTCGTTGAAAGTGCAAAATGCCCCCCCCCCCCCCCTGTCGCCAAACAGCGCCTGTCTTTGTTGTCTAATAGGAAGGTCTCATGTGGAGCGATTCCATGATTTGCTCTGCTTTTTCTTCACTGACACTTCTTTCCTTCCCTGATCGATACTGCGTCTACGAAATCGTATTTGAATACCATTACCGGCGACTTACAATCACGGCACTCCCCGTCGTTAGGGAAATTTTCTGCAGAATAGGATCACCGAATTTCCTCTGATGCAACCCACTACTCTCTTTTCCATGCTACCTCTGTCTGACCATCCAATTTTATCAATTTTTCTCAAGTTGAAACACCCTTCCCTCAAATGGCGAGCAAATACGACCTCCCCCTCCCAGAGGGATTCTAGTTTTTGTTTCATGAGTACCTCATTTAGGTCTCTGCTGCTGTCGCACGTGAACTGGAAGTCACGAACGATAACAAAAAGCTGCGTAGTGGTTTGGCAGATGCCGTGGCGAAGATTGAACGTTACAAAAATGAAGCTGAACATTCTAAAGAAATGTGCGAAGAGATGGCGGAACAGCTCGGCGTCAACGAAGAGCGAATTGTGAGGAAGTTTATAGTTGAACCGATTGATTTCTTGAATAGTTGCCCTGAAATTTGATGGTCTATGCTTTTCAGAACAAGCTAGAAGACGAGGTGATGAATTTGGAGGAGACTCTGAGGGAGAAAGAAAAGCTTGAAGAGTATCTGCAGTCACAAGTGAAAGCGAAAGACATGCCTAAGCTTAGCAGACGCAGCACTCTTCTTCGAACGCCATCGGAGAGCTCACTGGTATGTTGTTTCCTAGGTTGCGTTTAGACTTCGCGATGACGCGTTATCGCGCGACAACGCGCTGTAATTGCAACAGCGCTCCAGTCTTAAAAGCGCGAATGCAGTCGCAGACAGGAATCGATCTGCACCAATCACTTGTGTGTTTTGAGGGAGCATAGGGTAGCAGGAGGGCAGGGTTTGCCCACACAATCAGGTACACTCCCATCTTTTTATACTCTCCCGAAGCCCCGGCGGCCAGTGCCGATCGATAGCGGACTGCGTGATTAAGCAGCGCGTACTCTCCTGTTCCCCTATCTTTTTTAGAACACAAGCGACTCCCGTCTGCGGCTGCATTCGTCGTCAGAGGGATTTTAGCGCTGTTGCAGTTGCAGCGCGTTGACGCTCGTCTTCGCGGAGTATGAACACTGCTTCAATTTCCATGGTTCAGTTATCGATGCCCACAAGTATTTAGGAGGTGGTGCCCCAAGTATTTAGGAGGTGGTGGATCCTGTAATTGTCGAGGAACTGGAAAATGAGAAGTCCGTCCTGCTGAAGGAGCTAGAAGAGAAAAAGAAAGGTGATAAATCCCGTCCTGGGTCAACCCTCAGAAGTACGTGGCAAATATGCTGTTGAAATGCAAGTACTGCCATGCGCCGAAAACACTGATCCCCTCCGCTGCCGAAGACTCACCGGTCGTCATTTGTCAACCGATCTCGTATATAGTAATCCCTTTATAGCGTCATCACCCCCAAGGGAATCATGGCAGGGATTACCAGTCGAAATCCGTGTGGCGGATATTCTTACTCCAGCCGCAGAAGAAGTCATCTACTGTGGCAATGCCAACACCACAGAAAGCAATAATGCGGCATGATATCCCTCATAGGTTAGTTTCGAATAGGTTTATGGCTTCAGTACACGGCACGTGTTCGGCATTGGGGGAGACATGCTTCTAGTTCGCTCGGTTTCTCTTTACTAGTGCCGGGCTGACTCTCACCCTTTAAAAAGACCCGCGTGATTTTGTCCAAGTGCGACAAGCTCTTACTGTACAACTTAATTCAAGAGGCTGTAACAGATGGCTCACAGGAAGTATCGGCATTGAGTCTATGGGAACCAGCGAAATGCCCCCACCAAGCCGAATTGTGCCTACATTTCTTTTGACAATAGACGATAATCCCTTTTCAGGTGGACTGAATTACGCCATTTTGGACTGTTTAGCATCAATCGCGCCGTTTGCTTTTGTGGGGTTGTCCCGACTGCGTGAGCTATTTTATACGGTTTCAAAACTTCGATTTCATGTCTCCCAATGTTCTCAGTCTATATACTCCTCGTATCTTGCTCCACCCGCTGCCAACCTCTTGTCCCCTTCTGCCACCCCCCCCCTCCTTTGTACAGAATTGCTTAGCGATGTTCAGAGAAGGAAGTGTTCTGGAGTTCCGCCTTTCAAGCTAAGTAAATATAGGATCTTTTCCACTAGACTTCCTTCTTACCTCAAAAGCGATGCCTGACTCCCGAACTGATTTCCTTGAACTACGTCATCAGATTTGAGTGAGGCAGACGCAGTGTAGGGGTAAATCTCACGATGTACTACACTCAAGAGGTTAGGGGTCAACTCTCTGGTCAGCGCGTCAAGCGAACTAAAGTGTCTTTCTGAAAATGAGGCGATGCCTGGCGCATCCGAGAAGATATGGATTAACTATCGCAAGCTGTTTTAACCTTCAGTGCAACATCCCAGAGCTTACGGAAAACTATTCGCAAAGTGAAGTCTTTATTCAAAGCCGGTAGAGCCCTCTACAAACATACAGTCTTTTTTCGCTGGAGATGCTGGGGGGTCTCAGTGGAAGGGAGAGGTTGGCGCGGAAACAGCAAGCTCTCCACCACTTGTTGATGCAGGTAAGATACAGCAATTTGATGGAAAACTGGTGCGCGCTACGTCAACCCCTCCCCTGCGCGGCCAGGCGTCGCGGGAAGCAGGGCAAGATAATCGTTAAATGAAGCCGCTTTCTGCGCGCGGCATGGCGCGACGTCTTCCTTGACTTGCACCACCTTTTCGCACTTGAGGTTCGCCACACAAGCACCATGGGTAGCACTTCTTGTGGTCTATTTTTGATCACACATTTGTCTCATTTCTCGACTAATACCACGTAATCATCCTCATTAGCAGGCGCGACGTCGCGCGCAACGCCCACTGGCGCGGCGAATCACGATTCTCTTGCCACACACCCAGGCGTAGGCAGTTATGTGTTTTGGCATGGCGCCAGCCTATATGCTCTAATGGCTGCCTGCGCTATCGTGGTAGGGACTGTGGAAACGGGGGTGGGGCCACGCCAAAACGTATGAACGTAGGAAGGCCTCCACCTTGTTCACTCGTTGAGAGATACTTGCTGGGAAGGAACAGACTGCTCGGGCGCTGTTCGGCGACGGGGGGGCATTTTGCACTTTCGCTACTTCCCATCGACGTGTCGACCCATCTAGACAGCCTCTTCTCGAGTTGACAGGTTTTACCATGATGGCTTGACGAGCTTGCTCCAGCTTCACAAGAGTTCACAGGTTTCACCACAGCGAGCTTGTGAACCGGAACTAGTTGAGCAACAAAACTGACAATGGCGCTCCCCCCTCCCCTCCGATGGTCGCCGCGAAATGCGCCTTTGCCTCGTGATGCTGATGTGATGCAGCACGGGAGATCATTGCACCACACCTTGTGAACTCACTGTCAAATGGCCCCCAAAACACTACATGAATAGAATTAGATGCTCTGTTGTATTCCTGGCTTTTGAATATCAGCTTTTGAAATACATAATAATAATTGAAATTAAATTAAATAAATAATAATAATAATAATAAATAATAATAAATAATAATATATAAGTAATTGAAATAAATTGAAGTTTCTTACTCCGAACCCCCCCAATGTTTAGTTGGCCAAGAAGAAGCGCTGTGCTCACTGCGGCATCATCGTGCATTCCCAGTGCTCAAAACGAGTTGTTAATACGTGTGGTTTACCCGATCAGTGTGCGAATTATTACTTGGATTCTCATAGTGCGCCAAATGGAAGGATGAACGGATGGGTACGATTGTTCAGGTGGGTTCATGCAACTTGAAATCTTCATATTCTCGTAATGGTCAGCATTTTCAGAGATGACAGTAATGCGCTGCAGGGAATGGCAGTCAGCATGGGGCGAGATGGATGAGAAACGCCTTGCTTTCTATGACAACGATTCTGTACAGACTGACCTTCGGAAGCCATTCCTGACGGTTCGTCACTATCCTGTTCTCTTAGAGCTCACTATTGCGCTTTCTATTTCTATTTCGTATTGTGTTTCTATTTCTTTCTTTCTTCTGATTTCTTGCGCACTTCGATAACGTCTGAGCGGGGTTGGGTATTTGAATTTTCGGTGCTTCCAGCAGTTCCAGTTCACAGGTCTCAATTCTGTCGTGAAACCTGTGAACGTCTTGAGAGTCGCGACAGATAGTTCGGAGCACCGCCCATCGTAAAACATTGTCAAATCCTTGTTAAGCTACGAAATGACTCTCTAGATGAGTCGCACACGTCGTCTGATGGCTGGGCGGCAAATATGCAACAATGCCCTTCCCTCCCTTCTCCCCCACCTTCGTCGCCGACGATGACCTGCCCACTTTTCTTTTCTAACAGTTCCGTTTAGGTGGACCTAGAAAAAGAACTCAGAATAGTCCGAGTTGGAAGTGAAGTGCCTGTGAAAATGGAGAACGGCCAGGTCTCCCATAAATCGTTCCACATTGAAAACTGACAGCGTAAACTTTCAGAATCCGAGAATATATTGATTGCAGGCATAAATTCACCATTTAGCGCAACATCCTATATCTGGCACCTTCTATTGCAACAGCCAAAGCGATGGCAGAGGCTCTCCAAAGCGCCTCAACCAGAAGGATGATGCTCACTAGGCGGCCAAGCTCCTTCTCAGAGCAGTCCTGCCTTCTCGTACTCTCAAAGCCTAACAATCTTACTATACATACTACCTGTGTAAGTATAAGTAGTTATGACTTAAGGGTTCAGTGGTAAGAGGCAGTAAACAAAGAAAAGATGCTTCAGGTCGTTGATGATTATCTCCTTATCGGTGCTCAAAGCGGCTTGTTCTTCACAAGTGTTAGCAGTGCACGTGTACCTGTCAGAATTGCAGGATTCAACTCGGTTACCGCGGTTAGTTGCATCTGTCTGTTATAAAAGTGGCCTATTTAGAATATGTTGCGTCCGCCTGCAGTTCGGCTTGGGGGTGGTGGCCACTGTGATGTTTTCTTCGATCCCTGCCGATGCCTCCTGTGAGGACGTGTTACTTCCTGTAAAGCTACCACGAGCTTTGTTTACACTTGACAAGAATTTACAGGTCTTATTAAGGTGTGACGTGAAATCCAACAGGAACTAGCGAAAGTTCCCCAAAAATGCACCTTCCAGGCGAACCGCGACCGTGCGCTTCCTTAGCCCGTTCGCCCGTTGGTACTTTGCGACTTGGGGGTAGAATCTTGCGATTCTACGCTTCTAGCGACAGGGAGTAGTACTTATAGTCTTTGTTCGCTGCGGTCGAAGGGGCGTGTCCGGGTGGGATGATTTGATGCAACGCCAGATTCGTTCTCTATCAGCTGTTGCAGCGGGTAAGCGACAGCAGTTGGGGTAAACGACTGATAGGAACGGTATGGTAAACTTTTGTCACTTGCTCGCTTGAGCAACTGGTGGAAATCGGATTTGGCGCCGCGCCAGATCCATTCCGTCTGCCACCCCCTTCATCCTCAGCGAACTACACTATACCTTGTTTTGATTTCGATTTTCAGCAATTGCGGATTTTCTACACTCGCATTGCATGAATGCGACCTTATCCTTGAAACAAGTAAACATGATTTCGCCTACCATGCTAGTCTCGAGGGCCGAAGGTCAGCTTGCACCCCCTCTAACCCGTTCGGCTCTCTCCAAGGCGAAGGGACCGCTACATGTGATTACGAGGGCGCGGACAAGCAAAGCTCGGTGGTGTCGTAGCATACCATTAGCACAACCCAATTACCTCAACCCTATAATCATCCATTCAGTTGTGGTTTAGAGGGGGCGAGTCTTTCACGTCCAAGTTCTGAATCTCATGCAGTTCTGAAAATTCGTATTTTGAATTGCACCGTATGCCAGACCTTCGAACCCCTTGAATCTTTGTTTCTCAGCGATGGGATATAATTGTAATTTGGCGCAATTTCGCTTCGTAATTGCGCACCAAACGGTTTTAAGGGAAAGACAGCTACATATTGTCAAGACACTTAGATTTATGTAACTAAAGTGATTAATTTACTTTAATTCGCAACTTCACAGAAGTTCGCAGGTCCACCAAAGTGTAATCTGTTTACACGATTAGCCCACACAAAGAATCAGGTAGAAAGCATACAAAAATGGCCCCCCTCCCAAGCCGAACAGCGCCTCCAATTTCTTTCGCTTTCATAAGATCACAGTGTTCTCTTCGATACCTGAATTGCGGTGAAGGTCCCTTGAGCCCCAGCAGTTGTTAGTGAAGAGTTGTTTCAGATGGAATGCCTAGCGGATCTTAACATACTCGCTTTGATTATCGATCACAAGCGATCGTTAGCCCTAGTTCCGTTACCAGCGCTTAAATTAGCGTTGAACGTTACTCATCCATCCGTCCATGCTGACGTCATCTCGGGTTATGATCACCTCCATGCTATTGCTTATCATCTGCAGGATGGACAGAGGTAGGCCTTTTGAATGACCTGACTCAGTTACATTTGTCAGCTAGTTCTAAGATACTTATGTGCGGCAAGGCTCTGCGAAGATGCCACATCCTCAAGTACAACGCAGCGCACGGACTGTCTTCACGGCGACACCAGTGAGTTGATCTCGGAGTCCTGCTGCCTTCGGCTTTACACGTGAATCAAAGATTTCATACCATGGACCACCGGATTTCAGGTGATTGAAACGAGAGAGCCGGCGATGTGCATGCTGTCAACGGCGAAAGGTTTCTTCTTTGGAGCAGACAGCTTTTATTCTGTCCAGCTGTCACGAGGCCAGGTGGAACCTGTATGTCTCATTGAGTCAACTGTTGCGGACTATCCAATCGCTCTGCTCCAAATTCGAGAAGATGAAGTACTTCTGGCCTACCAAAGTGAGCTGTAACCTCTTGTTACTAGTAGATCTTTAATGAGCAAAACTTTAACAGATTACGGAATATTCGTGAATTCACGAGGAGAACGAACAAGAAATCAAATGGTAGAGTGGGAACACATGCCTATGGAGTTTGGTAAGGATTTGCGTTCATTTCGGATGATTACCGTTGGTATCATCTTACCGTTTCAGTATTCACTGCTCCATACCTTTACGTTGTTCACTACGACTCGCTTGAAATCCTGCAAGTGGCAGAATACGCAGGACTGGATTCGTGGTAAGCTTTTGTGTCATCTTTCATTGGGGAACTGAACTAGAGGGGGCACAGAACGGTTGCCCCATTGGATCATCCCTTGAGCTCCTTCCACCTACTATTTTGCCGACGTTAGACATTATCAGGCTAGGTTAACTAAACTTCGCCTGTTATTGTCTCCTGGTTGCTTGAAAGAGTCAACTTGACGGCATGAGTTTCCACATATCCACATACTGCTAATATAGTTGAAATGATGAGAGGATGAATACGTATACTTATCAATCCCTTGAAGGTACATTCCGCGATGAACAGTAGGGCGGCGACTCACAGTCATAGTGCCTCTCTCGTCACAGCGACCCTCCTTTCACAAAAATAGAGCAAGTCAGTGAGTTAGAGAGAGACACGGTTGTGCCGCAACCAGGGCACGCCGTACGTTGCTGATCCCGGATCCGTACGGAGCACCTTAGCGAGGGGATCGTATTTGGTCGCTGGAAGGAGAGTGTGTCGTGTTTGCCTTTAATCTCAGCCCTACGGTAGCTTTTTAGTGGAAAACTAGAGGATTCCTCCGGAAAAAAGTATGATGTTGGGAAATGAGAAGGTGGCAGGATAGGATGGGAGTAGGGAAGGGGTCTTATTAGAGAGGGAACTTTCGAGGGCGTCACATTTTGCAAAAACTTCACCCAACGGCAGGACGTGCTCTGGTCACAACAATAATGTGTTCCCGCCTATCCGGCAAAATGTGCCCTCAAATGTGCCCTAAAAGGTACAGCATTCAATCTTTATTTAAAATTATAGAAGTATTCAAATGTGCATCTACCGTGCCCGTGGAGATTACCCTTACAGCCAAACCTCTATACTTGATCTACCCCGTAGGACTAGAAGACTTGCATTCGGAATCGTAATCGCTTTTCGAATACGGTTTGGCCTGTACAATCTGGTGGTCAGTCAATATGATTTCTACACCGGCCCCGGGGTGTGAGGAAAAGTTGGGAGACGGGCCAAAAGTCAAGCCAAAGTGATGGTATGAATGGGAGTTGGCCACGGCGGCGTTCAGACTTCGCGTCGACGCGCCGTCATCGCGACGGCGCTCAGCAAGGGTATCGATCTCGCCGTTAGCGAGAATTTTATGACAGCATAGACAACGCGTACCCTCCCATTCTCCTATATTCTGTTGAAAAACTAGCAGTCAGCGCCGATCATACCCTGCTCATGCCAGTAAAAAAGGGAATCCATAGTTTCTGACCAATCGTTTCAGCACGATATTGGACGAACGTGAAGTGTTCGGTATGTTGCCGTCCAAATGGCGATGTTTTCATTTCCATCTCGAATACGGACAGTGTGGAAGTGCATCGTTTCAACGCAACCAACAGCAAACGAAGTGCTGTGAAGCGAAAAGGATTGACGGCCACCACATTCGATAAACGATCAAGGGTCGGCCTTTAAAAAAGTATTGTAATAGCCTACTCTAATCCTACTTTAGCGCTTTTTTAGTTCTTAATTTTAGAGGACTTTTTGTAAGTTTCACATTACTTTCACAGACCGTACAGCTTGCTAGCGCAGTTCGGCTTCGTGGGGTGCGCCAAATGGTTCTTAGCAAATCTACTTTAAGCCACCTTGTCAAGACCTAGAAATTCCTGTAACCAGGCGTGGCTCAGTTACACCAGTCGTAGCATCGCAAGAGTAGACACGTCTAACCAAAGTGTAACCTGTTAATCAACAAGGTCTAGCAGAGGAAACTAGCGAAAGTGCAAAATGCCCCTCCCAAGCCGAACACCGCAGCCTGTTCTCTGCCTTTTAGTATTTGTAAATACTGCCTTGTGAATGGTTTGTCATTTCTGTGGTTGTAGATATATTCATCGGAGATATCCATGTCACTTTCTAACAGGATGTTTTAATCTGCTTATAAATAGTCTAATATATCATCATAACATCATAATTGTTATTTATTGAATTTATTGTATTTAACAAGCGCGGATTGTCTTACTGTTATTGTAAAATCAAAATAACTCCTTTCAAGTGCTTGTAGTAGGTTCATTTGATGAAGTGATAGTGAATGTTAAAATGGGCACGATGGGTGGAGGCGGGAGGTTGCTGCCAACGTCATTGGTGGAAGGGCGGAGTGAGGTGTGGCCAAACGCGTTTTCGCGTCCCACCACCAATAACATTGGAAGCAAGCGCCTTCCCCAGCTATCGTGCCTGCTGCTTTTGAGCTAAACGTAGGAGATCAATAGTTGTGAATTTATGTGCACGAGGTTACTCGTCCCGTTTATTATTCCAAATGAGTTTGAATCGCATCAACTTTTATGAAGTTTTTTAGCGCCATAATTTACAAAGGCGCTAATTAATAGATCTCGGTTACTCGTTTATGCTGCTACTTACTTTTTTTTTCTTACGATTGTGCCCATACACTTGAATAAATGTGATTTAATTGCCAACCGGAGGGCTGTCTATGGAAGGTTCAAGAAACGAACCTCATATTCTTTCACTCCCCTTATGGATACGAGAATGATTAAAAGCCGATTCTTTGCTAAGAATCCTTCCCTCACTTCGCTCCCGCTCAGAGGAATTTGAGGGTGGGACAGGAGATCTGTGTCGCGGCGCTGCTGGTGCTGCAAAGAAGGTAGTTTGGGCGGTATTCGCACGAGGATTTAGAACCAGGATTCGGAAGAAAAAGGAAGGGAAGGGAAGAAAGCCAGATGCAGTTATTTGAAAGCGAGCTATGTTGTTCGCTGAGGATGAGGAGGCGTGTGAGAGGCCCGGGTTCGGCGCGGCGCTAGCCCCTTCCCCTTCCCTCTCCTGACACGCCTGGCATCCGCAGTAAAGGATGCTGTAGTTCCACTGCGCTGCTGCTACACAGATCTCCCCACGCGATTCCGAAGTCTCCAAGGAAAACATTAACAGCGGATGGGATATTTCTTGGCAGTGAACAAATAGTAGCAGGAGAGGAAGTGGAAAACCCGATTCATCGCCCACACCTGTGGCAATGACGTGCAATTGTTCAATTTAGAACTAGGTTTTTGGCGCAGGAATCAACAGAGGGAATAGAGTGTGTTCCGAATTGGGAATCCGAGTCATATTGTTCACTTCTCTTTAATATGTCGCACTATTGGAATCTCACATCATCAAACTGTTGTAACCAGTCAATTTTACCCAAAAAGTAACAGGCGCGTCCCATGCTTTCACCATTCCCCCTCCCAAAATACTATTCCCCCCCCCTTTGCCATTATGGGAAGTGTGGTTCAAAACGGGGAAAGGCGCAATGGTCCGTATGGTCGCGCCCATACGATCAGCGTGGAATTGGCTTTTGGTGGCTCCCTCATAGGTTTCCCTATCTTCTTTGAAAGCTCCCTCATAGGTTTCGAGTGAAAGCCTTTTAAAGTGGGACTTCCAAGGAATGTCACACTTTTCGGCGGTTTTCGAAGAGTTCATGATGATCTGAAAGGCATTCAGGTCAAGCTGACTAGTCCTAACGCAGACTGGATGCACGCCCCGTGATATAGGAGCGGAGACTCATAGCCACTGGGGCTCCCTCGTTGGCGCTCCTCTTAATTACCGTATCAGGAAGAGACTACCTATCAGGAAAGTACAGGACTGAATCCTCACTCATAACTGCCTGTGTGGTTATCGCGGAACATATCTTTTAGAAGACAATTCTCTCAGTGAACGGAATGCGTTAGGGATCCTCTGCCCGTAACACAAGGACAGCCGGCTCCCCGAGTTAGATGACTTGAATGAGCGCACCAAGCAAAAGTTTGATAATCATTGATTCAAAAAG